AAATGATCCTTAATTTTTTAGTTTTTTTCTTTATATGTCATTTTTTTTCTTTATATGTCATTTTTTTGCTTTATATGTCATTTTTTTTGCTTTATATGTCATTTTTTTCTTTATATGTCATTTTTTTGCTTTATATGTAATTTTTTGCTTTATATTTCATTTTTTTTGCTTTATATGTAATTTTTTTGCTTTATATGTCATTTTTTGCTTAATATGTCATTTTTTTTCTTTATATGTCATTTTTTTTGCTTTTTAACAGTTACTGATAAAATTTAATTATGCTTAGTATTTAAAGCATAATATATTTGAGTATTTGAAAGTAATATTATAATGGTACACAATTTAGTTTATATAACTTTAACATTGAATCACTGAGCAATATGTATTTTTGTGGATGTTGGGGAGTGGCAAAATCAAGGGCTGCTCCGAGTGACATTCACTTTACCTATAACCCTGAGAAAGATTCATATTAGATAGAATTTCTGCACACTTTTCTTCACTTCTAATGAAACTTACCTATTTCTTTATACATTGCTTAGCTTTTGGAAAGCATCTTTCACTACTTATAATTTTGTCGATACTTATTTGTGGATGTTGATAGCTGTTTTCTTGGTTGTTAGATTTTAAATAGTGTAGTTTTGTGTTAATATAGGGGTGGTGGTAGGGGGGTAACATTAAACGTTTGAGAAATTCAAAAAGTCCCCCAGAGACAGAGACAGGTGTCAAGATTTTGAATCATAAATTTTAAATTAGAAGAAAAGACGAGTGTATCAGCGTCTGCTTGCTTGTCATTCTCTTAGCTACACAAGGAGGGACGAATAGTTATTTATTAATTCATTTCAAGTAAGAAAAAGAAAAACTTCAACTCCTAAATCTGAAAAATAAAAAAAAATAAATCATTAAATCTGAAACATTTCTTATAGAGTAAAGATTTTCTGAAATAATCCGTGACAGAAAGAAGGAAACCATCCTGCTGGCAGGAAATTTACAGACTTCCTCTTTTTCAGCTGACCTCTTACGAGAATATATGGAATTAAGCAGCTTCAGATATGACGACAACAGATAAGTCAACTTACCCAAATATCGCATTCTTTTGTTTAATATTGCCTTCAGTGATAGACTTATCATTTCAAAATAATCTATTCATTCACCAAAATAAACACAAATCAAAAATATTCTATTTACAACTACATTACAAGAAATTTTATATGTACACCAAACTTGTACAACGAAATCCTTCGGATAATAAATCCTTCTGATTAATTATTATATTTATAATGAATAATCAGAAGTATTTATTATAAACATAATAAATAACCAGAAGTATTTATCATCCAAAGGATTTTGTTGTGATTAATATTTGTTGTATTTTACTAAGTGTTATATTCTGTGCTAATAGGAATATATACTTGAAAAACAAGGTGGATAAAATAAGTTAAAGTTTATTGTAAAAAAACAGTACAATAAGAATAAAGGTAACAGCTATGCACAAGGTCGTCATAAGTCAATCCAGTAGTGAGTGCTACTATTAGAAGGTTGGTAGTTCTCACATAAGTCTTAGTCATACTCAACAGATACCAACTAGTTGGTATTTACTAGCACCCCCACGAGGGTAGATAGTTTCAGCCGAAAAATCCTCATAGAACACTTATAAACAGAATCGGGTTGGTCAACCTCCTAGAACAAGACTCTGCTTGAAGGCAGAGCCTCATCAGGGTTCCTATCTGCCCGAAGACAGAGAGTTCGACCGTCTAGCTGGAACAGATCCCAGTTAGTCAGTATTTACTAGCACTCCCATGAGGGTAGATGTAACACAAGGCCAGGTTTAACGTGTATCTTCTGAGCTAAAAAATGCCCGTAAACGGGATCGGGTTGGTCAACCTCTCCAAACGAGACTCTGCCATTCGGCATAGCTTCGTCCAGGTTCCTCTCTTCCTGAAGGCAGAGAGTTTGACCGTCTAGCTGGAACAGATCCCAGCTAGTATATCTAGCCACCCACCAACGAGGGGTGCATGTGGCACAAGACCAAGTTTAACATGGGTTCTCTGAGCCCGTAGGCTCGACCAAAAATATTCCCTTTTTGAACCCGCATAAACAGGTTCAGAGGCAGTCTACCTCCCCGAACAATACTCTGCCTTTCACCGGAGCCTTGTCCGGGTTGCTGGAACAGATCCCAGCTAGTTGGTATTTACTACCCCCCCCACTAGGGGAGATATGGCACAAGGCTGAGTTTAACGTGGGTCTTTCGAGCTCGCTGGCTTGGCCAAAAATATTCCCTTTCGAACATGTATAAATGGGTTCAGTCTACCTCCCTGAACGAGACTCTGCCCTTCAGTAGATCCTTGCCCGGGTTTCTTCCTGCCCAAAGGCAGAGAGTTCGACTGTTTAGCTACTCCCCATGAGGGTTGCATGTGGCATAAGGCCGGTTTAACGTGGATTCTCTGAGCCCATAGGCTTGGCCAAAAATATTCCCTTTTTGAACCCGCATAAATGGGTTCAGGGTCAGTCTACCTCCCCGAATGAGACTCTGCTCTTTGGCGGAGCCTCGTCCGGGTTCCTCTCTGCCCGAAGGCAGAGAATTCAACCATCTAGCTGGAACAGGTCAAAGCTAGTCTCTGTAGTCCATTGACTTACAGATACTTATAGGCAGTTGCTACCTATAGTGTAGTCACTCACAGGAGTGACAGGTTATTCCATTACTTACTAATAGTATTCTTGGTTAGTTTAGTTGAATTTACAAGTCAAGGCATTTTGGATTATTCAATATTGAATTTTATATATGTCACTAAGTGAAGATCAAATTTACTACTCAATAGTAATAGCCAATCAGATGTGTGCAGTCTATGGCAGTAATAAAGTCACAGAAAAAGTCACAGATACTTATAAGTAGTTACTAACTATAGTGTAGTCACTCATGGGGTGACAGGTTATTCCATTACATCACTAACTAAAACAAGAGTCAAGCAAGGCCTGTCATAACAGTTATTTCTCTTTCAGATGTATTAAGTGCATTAACATAGCAACAACCATGATTCTGAGACAGTGATATGTAGAACAGGTAGAATAACAATGGCTGTACACAGATCCTATGTATGTACCTATTAGTCAGTAATGTGCCATGTGTGATAGATGCTTAGGTGATCATGTATCTTTCGATACATGACTGACATGGCAGATTTTTTCCTGCAGTAGGTTGCCATTTCTTTCTGCGGTAGACCAGTTGCCATCTAAGGCTATAGAACCCAGTCTGTTCTGCTATTTACCCATAGCTGGGGGGAGAAGAAAAGGATTCATACCTTTCCCAAGAGTATTAGCACGTAAATGAATGTAATGGATTCAAACGGAATTCAAACTCGTCTCTCTGATTCCTCAATCAGAGTCACTATCCATTACACCATTAACACCTCTATGGTACTGCATATAAACATTTATGCCAATGATACGACTATATGCCAGCGCACTTCTAAAACAGTTAATAATCCAATATTGGTAGCTGGTCTCTCTTCTGGTATACCTCTAATTTCCAGTGGGGGAAAAATTGCCTCATAAACCAGTTACAACTAGTTACATTCAATGCCTCATAAACCAGTTACAACTAGTTACATTCAATGCCTCATAAACCAGTTACAACTAGTTACATTTGCTCACTGCTGATCAGACCCCAAACAACCACCAGTCATGATGAACTGATGTTCTGTCGATTAGGTACTGCACCTTTAGATATTACTGGGCCTCAGACTCACTCCCAAACTCAAGTGTAACTCTTATATACTATTGTGGTAGGTAATGCAACAACTCAACTGATGATAGCAGGTAGGAACAAAGAAAACCGGTGTTGCACGTCCAACCTTCTCACGAGCCGAAAGCTCTCTGATTCGAAACAGCAAAACGAGCCTGCTTTATACAGCCGCGGACCGACCACGATTTGCATGCGAATGACGAGACAACGAGATTTCGCGTTAACTAACCGAGACCGCCCGGCATAAAATATGTGCGCCGCCATTTTGGTTTATTTTGCCGTTGGAAGGACCAGAGTTTGCATACTGCGCAGATTCGAACGCGTTTCCGAGGTAAGCCATTTTCACAATTTTCCCCACAACTATCCATCACTAAAGATGCAGGTAAAATGTTCCCTGTACCACTTCAGTAAAAACCTGACTCCTCATGCTAACTTGTACCTTTATAAGAGCCAAATCCGGCCAAAAATGGAGTACTGTTGCCATATTTGGGTGGCAGCTGCCCAGCCCTCACTTTCCAGTCTTGATAAAGTCCAAAAGCACCTCTGAGTCCTTGTTAGAGAAGAATTATTTTCCACCTGCCAACCTCTCTCTCACAGGCGGCATGTGGTGAGTCTTTCCCTTCTCTATTGCTACTTCCATGGAAAGTGCTTGGATGAACTGCATCTCCTGCTTCCACCAGATCAGACCTTCACAGCCACTTCCATAGTATCAAATCACCCACATTCCCTCCGTATTCCATCGACAAGAAGTAAGTTTCACTCAAAGAGCTTTTTCGTGAGAACCAATGCTCTGTGAAACAGACTCCCAAGAAGATGTTTCTCCGATCCCTACAATCTTAACCTGTTCAAGTGGAGAGTTAACTATTATCTTCCCTTCCTATCCTTATAAACTACCCCTTAACATAACCCTCTACCTTGAGTGGCTTCCGGACCTTGTACAGTGCGGACCTTACTATAAAAAAAAAAGATAAAACTTGTGCATCAGACAATCTTGAAGACAATCTACTGTTTGCAAGTCTAGATCTTCGGTCTTTTAAGGAATTTTTTTTTGAATCAGTTTCAACTCAGGCAAGTCAAATAAAGCCACTAAGACACAATGGATTACTACATGTGAAAGAACTAGAAAACAGAAACATTACTAATGAGCAGGAAGAAAAAGAGTAATCAGGAGGACAGTAGATAGCACTTGACATTGCTTTGAAATTTTTAAATATTAAAGTCAGCTGGAAAGCATGGAGCTTCCACAAGAATGAAGTAACTTTCATATGGATGTTTTGCATGGTGCCAATAGATAGATAGATACTGAGATAGATAGATAGATAGATAGATACAGAGATACAGAGATAGGTGATAAGAGACAAAAATATGTGGATAGAAACAGAGATAGATTGATATATAGATAGAAACCAAGATAGATAGATAGTGACCAAAATAGATAGATAAATAGATAGAGACAGAGACAATGGTAGATAGATTGATAGGACTTCAGGGTTAATGCTGTTGTTTTCAGTGAGAGGCTGAATATGATGCAAGGATGTAATGCATATGTTGACATTCCACATGGCCTTAAACAAAAGGTTAGGAAGGAAATTCCTATCAATCCTAGAAAGCCCTTTAACATGCAGAGCACATGAAAAGTCTAATTACCTGAAAAATGATAAGGATAACTGTTCAAATATTACCTATATGTAAGCGGCTAATCTCCCTATATTGCAAATAAAATCTCATATGAAATACAGCAAAATAAGCATAGGAATAAAAATGATCAGTTGCTTTGGTATACATTTCAGAAAAATGATTGTTTATTTTAAAGAACATATATGTATTCAGAAATAAAGAAATTTTGCTTATCTGTTGGTGGCAACATGTTTTATCAGTGAACTGTCCAGAATGTTTCCCTTTTGACAATCTAACTTTAACTTTCTTTATTATGAATTACCATTCTCATCTGTATTTTAAAGCATTTTTATTGCTTCACATTTAAGTTTTCTTTTATTATTAATTATTTCAGTTCCAGACTATTAAAAAGGCTAGTAATAAGGGTTTGGAGTTATTTACTCATTTATTTATTTCTGTCACTACACCTGCATGTTTTGCATGCATGGGACTTGCAGTAGTGACCAACCATTCAACAATAATATTCTAGCTCTACAGTAAAGGCATGGAGCACTTTTATGCCTATATATCACTCCTAGGATGTGCAGATGGTATAATGGTTAGAAATTTTGTATAAAAAATTGCTGTCTTGAGTTTGAATTCCGGTTGATATCATTATATTCACTTTTGCACAAATACCCTTGGGGAAAGTATGAATCAATCTCTTCTCCCCTAGCTATGGGTTAAATAGCAGGGCAGACTAAATTCAAAACTGTACATGGCACTGATGGGGCACATTTGTACTATAACTAAGTTCTGCTTAGAAGATGATCTTGGAAAAAGATCAAAAGTACTTGGGAAATTAAAATAAAAGAAATTTAAACAGTTATAACACATTTCTCTCATCTTTCAACAGCAATACATGGAAGTTTATTCATGAGTATGAATGGATTTTGTTAAAAACTAGCAGACATAATGTCTAATTTATTCAATCAGACATGCCTAAAAGAGAATTTGCTGCCTAAATACACAAAATATACATATATATTTATATATATATATATATATATATATATATATATATATATATATATATATATATATATATTTTTAAGACATTTTTATATTTAACATTCTTTTATAGATACAAATATTTAAGTAAATGCTCTGTTTATAAACAGAGCATTTACTTAAATATTTGTATCTATAAAAGAATATTAAACATAAAAATGTCTTAAAAATAATTGTCGGACTTTTTGTCCATTTCATAATATATATATATATATATATATATATATATATATATATATATACATACATCCATACAGTCATTTTTTTAATCAAAGTTATATATATATATATATATATATATATATATATATATATATATATATAACTGATTAAATTTTAATTAAAGTTATATATATATATATATAACTGATTAAAAACAACTTTATGGTTGTATATAGCCAAGTGGTTAGAATATTCACTTTCTGATTTTTTTTCATCATAAGAGGGGGCAATGCACCATATTTGGAAAGTGCCTGAAAACTACACCATGGGTTAACCCAAGCCTTGTGGATGAAACTGGGTTGATAGAACACTTGGGGGACATGGAGGGCTGTACTAGAACGAAGTCATTGTGGCCTAGGGTTTGAGTCTGCTGGTCTTGTTCAGAGTGTTGATCACACTAAATAACACACTCTCTCTCCCAAAAAATGTGACTAAGGTCTGCTCAGCATAGTTGCAGTATAAACCACAGATGGGTTCTGTGGATGTTCAACAAACACAAATGTGCCTGAGCAGGCATTTGCAATAGGGATTGGCTAGCCACCCTTGAAGATGGGTATTCTTGAATACAAGTGGCCAGCTTGGGAAATTTGTTGTTTAAAAACAGTAATTTGACTTTGCTAACCAGACACTTCCTCTGTAGCTAAATATTATAGCACATCAGGCTATATGACTGTGTAGGATACAGGTTCAATTCCTGTCAGAGGACACATATTTTTTATGAAATTTCTTAGACATTTATGCCAGTAAATGTAGTTAATCATCACCAGTGCATTTACTTAAATATTTTTATCTATAAAATAATGTATAAACAGAATATATATATATATATATATATATATATATATATATATATATATATATATATATATGGTAGATATATATATATATATATATATACATATATATATATATATTGGAGGCATGGTGGAGTAGTGGACAGTGGCTCGAATTGAAGAATCAGAGAGCTCCCTCCAGCTATGGGTAAATAGCAGGATAGAGTGAGTTCTATAGCCCTGAATGGCAACTGGTCTAGGAGAAGGACAACTCTGAATTCAAAACCTGCAGAAGGTCGTTTAGGACCTTGAGGCACATAGTGCACCAGGTCTCTGTATTCAACCATTCAAAAGTGTGGATGGTCCTACACGAAACCTTCACCACTATAATCAAATCATATATGCTGGTGTCTGGCTGTCAGTTCCGAGGAACTGAGCTGCTTGACCCTCATACATCAAATACAATGGGAGAGTCCACCATATATATATATATATATATATATATAGTTGTTATAGTGGAACACACCTATTCTATTGTTTATAGACTCTCCCACTATAATAAGTACGAGTAGTAGGAGTTGCTCAGTGGGTCAGTCAGTCAGTCAATGCCGGATCACTGTTAGTCGGATACTAAAGTATCAGCGACCACATGTTTTGTACGTTGAACCTATTTTATGATTGACTTAGTACAAATACAAGCCTCCACTGTGAAACCACTCCATAACAATAATCATCCTCATTGTCATCCATATAATATATATATATATATATATATATATATATATATATATATATGCTTGTGTGTGTGTATGTGAGAGAGAGAGAGAAAAGAAAAGAGCTCGCAGTAACTCATATATTACTAATATAAATATAAGTATCCTGTAAAATATATATATATATATATATATGCTGGTGTCAGGCTGTCGGTTTCCTGGAAACTGATCTGCTTGACCCTCATACGTCAAATCTCAACGGGAGAGTCAATTATATATATATAATATAATATAAAAGGCTCAAACACTAATATTCCATGGTTATAATTTATTACATTGGAATCATAATCACAATCCAATTCATCAGACCTACAAATTCAAAATTCTGATGAATTGGATCGTGATTACGATTTCAAAGTAATAAATTATAACCATGGAATATTACTGTTTGAGCCTTTTATATTATATTCTTGTTCTGTCCTGGACATTGAGTTCTACCTGGATTCATTCCTCTTGGGAATTTATGTATATATATATTATATATATATATATATATATATATATATATAAACACTAATATTATCAATATATATATATATATATATATATATATATATATATATTTACCCTAGTGTAAGAGATAAACATTTACTTTTGAAATGTTGATTATTTGACTTGTTTTTTCACTGTTTACCAACCTTTTTGGGGGTTATTTAAGGCCCAAACCTATTTTGGATTGGAAAAATAATTCTTTTTTACAAGTGAATATTGTATTAACATAATAAAATAAATAACAATGATTTTTACAGTTACAAGTCCTACTATTTAGCCCATAGCTGAGGGGAGAATAAGGCTTGCCAATCCCTGTCACAGACACCTGCTCAAGCATATCTGTTTTTGTTCAACACCAACAGGGCCCACTTATGCAACTATACAGAGTGAAATATAATCCCAGTTTCTGGGGAAGAAACGCATAATCTTTCATGATCAACAGTTTGAACAAAGCCAGTACACTCAAACCCTCGGTCATGATGACTTGTGATTTCATGCTGACAAAACTGTTTCTCAAGTGTATTTCCTGTAAGTGAATATAACAAACCCAGATGAAATTTGAACTCTGCTCTCTGATTTCTCATTGAAAGCCACTATCCATTACATCACTCATACATCCTTACTCTTGAAATGGATTTGAAATCAAGAAGAAAATCGTCAGGAATTGACAAACACACAACTGACAGGCATTTAAATAATTAAGTCAAAGAAGTTTCTCTTTTTGGCAATCCTTCTATCAAAGAAAGACGAGGTGGGATTAACTGCATTTTTTAAGTTTTATTTCTTCTTTTTGGTTTGCTTACTGTTAAATAAAAGGCTTGATATGCACTGAGTGGTTTTAATGCAAAACTACATGTAGCAATTGGAGTTGGAAGGATGGTTACATCACAATTTGACTTGGCACCAATTTTTACAAATGGCGCCCACCTGGCCAGAATTGTTGGCCACTGGAAGATGGTCAAGAGCTGCTTATGTACTAAGGAAATGAATATTGGCAACCATGGCTTATTAACGGGTGTAAATAAAGTATTGCAAGGGGAAGAAAAAAGTTGGCACTTCTCCTGGTTTTCCAACTAAAATGAATTCCAGATTGTTTCAATTCTTTGCAAGAGTATGTTCTGTAGATGTAGATGAAAATTATTTTGCACTTCACTCTCATAAAGATAGAGGAAGACTGAGATAGCTAGAGAGAGAGGCAGAGAGAGACTGAGAAAGACATAGAGAGAGACTGAAACACATAGAGAGTGAGAAGATAGAGGAACTAAGATAGAGATAGAGACTGTGAAAGATAGAGAAAAAGAGACTGAGAAAAAGAAAGAGAAAAACAAAGAGAGAGAGAGTGAGACAGATAGAAAGAGAGAGTGAGAAGATAGAGAAAAACTAAGATAGAGACTGAAAAGTTAGATTGAGATAGATAGATAGATAGATAGATAGATAGATAGATAGATAGATAGAATGAGGAGATAGGGAAACACTGAGATAGATAGATAGATAGATAGATAGATAGATAGATAGATAGATAGATATAGATAGAATGAAGAGATGGAGAGAGACTGAGATAGCTAGACAGATATTGAGAGACTGATAGATAGAGATTGAGAGAAGAAAGAAAGACTGAAAGAGATAGCTAGAAAGAGAGACTGAAAACATAGAAAACGTCTGAGATAGAAAGAGAGAGACTGAGATAGAGAGAAAGAAACTGAGAAGAAAAAATATAAAAACTGAAATAGATATAGAGAGAGAGATTGAAATAGATAGAGACTAAGAAAATAGAGAGACTGAGATGGAGATAGATAGATAGATAGATAGATAGATAGATAGATAGATAGATAGATAGATAGGGAGAAACTGAAATAGACAGCAAGGGACATAGATAGATAGATAGATAGATAGATAGATAGATAGATAGATAGATAGGGAGAGACTGAAATAGACAGCAAGGGACTTAGATAGATAGATAGATAGATAGATAGATAGATAGATAGATAAGGAGAGACTGAAATAGACAGCAAGGGACTTAGATAGATAGATAGATAGATAGATAGATAGATAGATAGATAGATAGATAGATAGATAGGGAGAGACTGAAATAGATAGACAGCAAGAGACTGAGGTAGGTAGGTAGGTAGGTAAATAGATAGATAGATACAGAAATAGATAGAGACATAGATAGACATAGAGAGATAGTGAAAGAGATAGATAGAAACAAAGATAGGTGGATAGAAACAGATATACATTGATCAATAGATAGAAACCAAGATAGATAGGGAAAGACCTAGATAGATAGATAGATAGATAGATAGATAGATAGACTGAGATGGGTGGATAGCGACATAGATAAATAGATAACTGTTCAAATATTTCCTATATGCAAGTGGCTATTCTCCCTATTACCATTATTATGCAAAGATTAATACAAATACATTACTTCCCTTGGAACTTTTTTCATTCATAAATTTATAAACATTTACTAATTTATTAAAATATGTGAAACCAACTATTATTTACTACTTTATAGAATTTGAATAACCATTCAAATAAATAATGTAATAAATAAATAAACAATATTTATTTGTATTTCCAAGATGAGGTATAATTAATTATTTACACCATTTACATTGTTTGAACTGTTGTCCTCATCTTTATTGCCATATTCATGATGTTTCAACCATTGTACACTCAGGCCTTCTTTGGGATCAGTCTCCATTTCTGACCTAAGGTATTGTAACTATTTACACCATTTACATTGTTTGGACTGTTGTCCTCATCTTTATTGCCATATTCATGATGTTACAGCCATTGTACACTCAGGCCTTCTTCAGGATCTGTCTCTATTTCTGACATAAGATATTGTAACTATTTACATTTTTTGGACTGTTGTCCTCATCTCTATTGTCATCTTCACAATGTTGTGGCTGTTTTACACTCCAGCCTTCTTCGGGTGATTGGGTTTTCAAACCAAACCCATTTATTTTGTCCACTGGTGCAGATTGTTGGTTAGATCCAGTGACTAGACCCAAAGAGCTGTGAGTTCAATACCAGGCCACAACAGTGATGGACCAAACTTGGCGAGTAGAGTTAAAGGGAAATCACTGAGACAGGTTTCAGTTCGAAATTCCAATCAACTGAAGAAGGCCAAAGTGTACAAATGCCGAAATGTTGTGAATATGGCAATGAAGATAAGGATAACAGTCCAAATAATGTAAATAATGTAAAATGTGCCATGTTGAATGTGCAGACCAGGAGATGAAATAGTTTTTAAAAAAATGGCTGTTCTACTCAGATATGGTGATTCTCTAAAAATAATGTTTGAAGCAATGAAAATGTTGGATTAAAAATAGAAAAAACATTAAGTTTTTAGAAAATGGTTTATGTTTCACATATGAATCGATAAAATATGAAAGAGAAAATGTACTTTAATACAAATAGAATCCTGCTTGGAAGTGAGGCTCTTCATAGCCAAGTGTTCTAAAGCACACTGGATCAATACAAAAATAAAATACATAAAAAAATAAAAAACACAAAAATACCCCATTTGTATAGCTATTTCACCCCCACATGAACTACCTTTAAAGTTGAAAATTTTTAAGCTACCTTTTTAATTTATTTCCTAACCCCTTGGTGCTTACAAATCCTGTAATGAAGCTCTTGTTAGGATTAAGTAGCTATTCAAATGAGGCAATTTTGAATTTCTTTCTATATAATTTATTTATTTATATATGCTCTGTTATAATAAGTACATTTAGCTCGCTTTGTGGATCAATTTTAATATTTTACATTATAAGGATCCACTTTGATTATTTAACTACGGATTATTACCTCTCTCTCTCTCTCTCTCTCTCTCTATATATATATATATATATATATATATATATATATATATATATATATATATATATATTACATGGAAAGGAATTAAAAAATACCCATTTGTACAGTTATTTCACCCCACAAGAACTACCATGCAGGATTTGTCAACACAAAGTGGTTAGGAAATAAAATAAAAGTAGCTTAAAATTTTTAAAATTAAAGGTAGCCCTTGAGTGATGAAATAGCTATTCAAATGGGGCAATTTTGAATTCCTTTCTATATAATTTATTTATTTATATGTGCTCTGTTATAATAAGTACATTTAGCTCGCTTTGTGGATCAGTTTTAATATTTTATATTATTAGGATTCACTTGATCATATACCTACGGATTTCACCTATATATATATATATATATATATATATATATATAAGTGAACATTGAAATCAACACTTAGAGGCAACAGTCTGTTTCATGCTAGATGCAATTTTCAGGCCATGAATATAGCACACCATACATCTTCATATATATATATATATATATATATATATATATATATATATATATATATATTCAGTTGTATGGATATGAGTTTGTGACCCTGGGTTTCAAGTTTGTGCAACCACAAAAACGTGAAACCCAGTGTCCCAAACTCATATTCAGGCAACTGAATATGTTAGTTCTATCACTGATAGTGAGCACTTTCCAATAAGTACTACGGTGGAATAATGGATAGCGGCCTGGACTGAGGAATCAGAGCTGATTTTAAATTCCAGTCGAATCCATTACATTCACTTACATGCTAATACCCTTGGGAAAGGTATGATTCCTCTTCTTCTCCCACTAGCTATGGGTAAATAGCATGGCAGACTGGGTTTCTATAGCCTTGGATGGTAACTGGTCTACCACAGAAAGAAATGACAACTTACTCCAGGAAAAAATCTGCCTCGTCAGTCATGTATCAAAAAGATACATGATTGCCTAAGCGTGTATAAAATATGGCACATAACTGTCTGTACATATAAAATAATATATATATAAAAAAAAAAATATATATTTAGGAAATGGATTAAAAATCCAAACAGATTTCGAATCTATTTGTTTACACATTATATTTTTAGATGGTTATTCAAGAAATATTGTTAGAAAAGGAGGATGACTATAATACTTACAAGATTTCACATATATTCAGGCCAGTAGATGTAAATATATATATATATATATATATATATATATATATATATATATATATATATATATATATATATATATATATATGTATATACATATATATATATATATATATATATATATATATATATATATATATATGTATATATACATATATATATATGTGTGTGTATGTATATATATATATATATATATATATATGTATATGTATGTATACACACACACATATATATATATATATATATATATATTTCTAATTTATTGTTTAGATGTTATTCATTTCTTATTTATTTGAGTAGCTGCTATGTTTTCTTTTCTTTATTTTTTAAACATCTTTTATTTTACATCTTTATATATATATATATATATATATGTGTGTGTGTGTGTGTGTATATATATATATATATATGTGTGTGTATACATACATATATATATATGTGTGTGTATATATACATATATGTATACATATATATATATATGTATATATATAGGAGGCACGGTGGAGTAATGGATATCGGCTCGGATTGAGGAATCGCAGAGCCGAGTTCGAATCCAGGTTGAATCCATTACCTTCACTTATGTGCTAATACCCTTGGGAAAGGTGTGAATCCTATTCTTCTCCCTCCAGCTATGGGTAAAATAGCAGGACAGACTGGGTTCTATAGCCTTGGATGGTAACTGGTCTAGGAGAAGGACAACTCTGAATTCAAAACCTGCGGAGGGTTGTTTGGGAACCTTGTGGCACGTAGTGCACCAGGTTTCTGTATTCAGCCCTTAAAAAAGTGTGGATGGTCCTGCACAAAACCTTCACCCCTATAATCGAATCTCATGTGTCGGGCTGTCAGTTTCCTGGAAACTAATCTGCTTGACCCTCATACGTTGAACCCGACGGGAGAAGTGATTTTTTTTATATATATATATATATATATATATATATATATATATATATATATAACTAAGGAATTGTTTTACTACCCCTTTTTACTCTTTTTCTGTCTGTCTCTTTTTTTTTTTTTTATCTTTTCCTTGTGTCCGAATTAATTGATCTCCATTTATTTTGTAAAATTTGGTCTGAAGAAATGAATGTCTGAGCCCACAAAATAAATTATCACTTGACTGAATAGATTTTTAAGGATTCTGTATATTATTATTATTATTATTATATATATACATATATATATATATATATTCCTGATACATATATATATATATATATATATATATATTTCTAATATATATAAAAAAAATCTAAGAAATTGTCTTTACAGCATAAGCATTAACATTTAATTCACATAAAATTTTTAAAAGCATACTTTAATCAACATTTCATCTTATTTTTAATTCAATTTTTTTAAATTGGCTCTGTAAGCAATGTTACTTTTGATAAATTTCTTTTTTTTAACTTTATGTTTGTATAGAAAAAATTTATATCTGTCAAAATTCAGTCATAATCTAGAAAAAATACCTTTACATTTAAAGACATTGCAAAATAAATATAATCTTGGCTTCAGAAAAAAAAAAAATTAAATTTGACATAAAGTTGATAATTTTTAAAGTTTAGAATTTTTATAGAATTCTATAATTTTACACTTCACACATTAGCTATGATCTTATTTCTTGCATCATTGGTAGTCACCATGTTTATTTGCCATGTACCCTTAGGATGTAGGCGATCAAGGCTCTCCACAACTTCCTGTCCCTTGTAGTTCTTAATAAACTTTGTCTTTCTCTTATTTCTTGTAAGCCATGTTCTGCCATCCATTTACTGAAGCTTATTAAGTATGTTATGCATTATTTTCCTCTGTCCCTCTTGCCCTGTATCTGTCCTGTGAGTACCAGATTTTCCAAGCCCTCCTTCCTCATTTTGTGCTCCAGAAACCTCAGCTGTCTCTTCCTGATGTTAAGTTTCCTTTTTATTTACATTTTCTCTAAAATTTTGTCATTGTGCAGTCCATTGTTTGCTCAGCATCCTTCTGTAGAACTACATTTCTGTTGCTTCAAGTCTCTTCTTCATCTTTGAGGAGATTGTCCAGCATTCATTGCCATACAGTAGGACATATATTACATTGCTCTTTTTAGTGAAATTTTCCTATTTCTTTGTCCTCTACTTTGGAATGTTTTCTTGGTTATCCCAGTATGCCTTTAGATCTCAGTATCACTCTTTCTATCCTCTTGTAAAACACTTCCCAGATATTTAAATTTTCATGCTTTCATTTTGGTAGGTTTAATTTGTAATTCACACTTTGGGCTCGTATATTTTCTTAAAACTACTGAATTCTTTAAACAAGTGAATAAAAAAACAGCAAGTTTACTAAACTAATTCTTCTTCTTCTTCTTCTTCTTATTATTATTATTATTATTAATAATAAAAACATTAAAAATTATTCAGAAATTTCTCTAATGATATGTTCTATGTAGGAAATAGCAAGAAATTCAAGTGGACTTTTCAAAAAGCTAAAGAAAGTATTAAGAAATAAGCAAATTTCATTAGAAAGAAAGAAAAGATTACTGAAGAGTACTTTAATCCTCCTATAGAATTAGAAAGAGACAAAAAAATTTCTAGGCCACATATTGAGGAAAGAGGGCTTGGAGAATTTCACACTCATGGACATATTAAAGGTGAGAGTGACAGGAGAAAGCAGTGAATAACTTATCTAATAAGCTTGTTGGCAAGAATTGGAATTAGGAAAAAAGGCCTTACCAAGAGCTACAAGGGAGAAGAAATTGGGGAGCACCATTTTCGTCCATGTCCTGAAGGGATATGGCACATAGAAGAACTTAAAAATTAAAGAATAAAAAATATCTTTTTTGGTTCGCAAATGATTTGAGTTTGTAAAAGTTTCTAGACTTGAGCTGGACTTGGTTTTAATAGCAACTTTATGGAGAAGTTCTCTGGAACCTGAGGGGTTCTTGCAAGAGTTCAAAAGACTTTCTGCAAGAGAGTGATAAAAGTAATATATAAAAATAGTATAGAATTATAGATTACAGAAAGTTGTATTTACCATGTATTGATTGAATCGGACTTTCACACTTCCTGTACAGAGACTAGAGTTCACTTGCCTACAGACATCGCTTGTCAGAAGCGGCCGTAATTGTAGGTAAGCAGAGATAAATATTGTTGTAGTGTTGACATTAGTTTCTTTCTCTTGTTTTTTTTCTTTATTTTTTAAAGAACTTGATTTTATGAGAAGAATAATGTCTATAGTTAACATTGACAGTTGCTTCTGGATTATCTACCAACTACTGGTTTGGTTGACATCCTGAGAACTGTATATATATTTTTTTTTCTGCAAGGATTACTTGAGACATAAAAATTACATGAAGGATCCCTCCAGGAATAAAAACAAATGACAACTATTGTTGCAAAAGGTTTGTATTAGAATGCAAAAACAATAAATTCTGTAACTTTAGATTCAATTTCAATTTGTAAAGAAAATTCAAGATATAGATATATTT